TATATTTACATGACTATTACAAATAATAAATGAAAGACCACACGTGAGACATGTGATAATAATTGTATTACAACCTCTTATTATATTTTGCATGTGACTATGACATAACAAAATATCCAAAACACCTAGAATCACATCCTGTTGGTATCAAATGTTCAAAATGCTACACAATGCTACATATTAGTATAAATATAGTAATTATTAGTTCGGTTCGGTTCAATTTTGATAATAAGCATTGATAATCAAACAAAACCACAATTAGAAATGTGTTTTTCAATGGATGTTGAATGGTGTTTGCATAAGATATGTAATTTTATAAATATTTACCTTTTCATATTCGATTAAACAAATTATTGGAATGATTTACAAAGCTACGCAATTTTTTTGATTCTGATTTTTCTATCACAAGTGGGTCATAAATCTTAGCATATGTTACTTTGACACAAGATCTGTAACTCAGCAAATGGTGGCTCATAAGACATTTCGGTTCTTTGCGTTCCTCGACCTTGCTTTTCACTGAAACCAAGATAATTAATAGAAATCGTTTAATTATATGTTATTGGAAGTGGTTAATTATAATTGAAGAATTGTAATGGTTATGTTTTTCTACCTTCTGGCTACTTTGTTTTCCATTTCTTTCCTTCCATTATCTTTTGAATATTAATTGCAAATATACCTTTTCTTTCGTACTGTTTTGGATAACTTTTCACGCCTTTTGTCATCCTCAGTTAAACAATTTGGCTGTAGAACAAGATATCTATAATCTTAGGAAAGATTGTGAAGAGAAGGATACCACAATAAAGGAGCTTACAACCCTGTTAAACTCTAACGAGGTTGCTAATTACAAGGTAACATTGACATTTTTAGATTAGAATTTGTGACTTTTTTTTCTTTGTTCTAATTCACTCATTACTTATTATAATGCCATTTAAAACAGAGGATTGCTGAATTAGAGGACATTATACGGAGGAAGAATACAACAATTTCAAAATTAAAGAAAGACATGTCCGTTCTTGAACAAAAGGTAACAAGATAGCATATACTAGTAAGGTATATTTAAAAAACCGGAATGTTCCACTTTGGTTTTTTTATATGATAAGAAGCCAAACCCAGGAATTTAAATTAACATGGAACAAAAATGCATTACAATACTGTAAGCTCTCATAGCACTGCAAAACAAGAAGGATTCCGTATCTATGAATTTCAATTGCTTTTGCATATAAAGGACTCTTTCACAAATACATGCAGGTTGTGCAGCTTACTAGACTTCGACGACCCTCTTTTTCTCCCAGTGGCTCAAATAACAGTCCTCTCCCGCGAATTATGATAGATAACCTTCTTTATGATATGGAAAGCACTTCTAGCTCCTCGTCTTCTGATTCAGATAGTTCCTCTGTCGTCAAAGAATCGAATCTTCCAGCTGATATTGTCTTGAAACAGGATTCTGCCTCCAAAATTGATCAGAAACATACACCGAGAAAAGTATCCAGTTCATCAGGTAGAGTTTTTGAACGCCACTCGAAGTCTCGATCCATTAGTCCTTGTAAAGAAGTCTCAAGTAGCCGAAAATCTAATGCAGCTTCTTCTTCAGTTCAAAAGCAATTATCAGCTCGTGGAGACTTGAAAAAGACTAGAAGACGATCTCTTAATGGAGACAAGAGTACGACTGCACACAAGAGATGGGTATAGTAAGTATCTAAAATCATATCAATGTTATGGTAAAAGTTCACAAGTTATATTTACTTGTGCTACAACTAGTGTTTTATTGTTTGAGTTTGATTCTCAACCGGGCAGTTGAGAGTCAGGAATCTTGCATGAAAGTTTTAGACACATTTTTATACATCGGCAAATTTCTTAACATGATTAAAACACAAAATTATATGGGCACCAGTTATTGCCATGAATCTTCCTTCTTTGTTTCTGATTACATTTTGTATTCGTCTTATTTAAGCGGTGATATTCACCAATGTTTATTCGCTTTCGTTTCTCCTTGTAGGCTCTTCTGGAATGTATGTTTGTGGTATAGTGTGTCCTATACCGTGCAATTATCTTATCCAACGGGAATGAAGTGGCAAACAGAAGATGGTAAATTCTTTATGGGCCTACATATCAGTTAAATACTTTAGCAGTGGCACATTATGGTTTAGACTGGTAGACCACAACACAGGCAAGGGTTTTCTTCAAATCTGTTAGTGCTTTCTAGCAGTTGGTTTATCCTTCACTTGATGGATTTTTACTCATTAAATCCAATTTATCGATGATTATCTTTCTCAGGTGAGAAACGAAAGAAACCACAATTTCTTTTTCTATCATTTCTGTTCAAAAGGTTACGTAAATTAAAATTCTTAAAAAAAATATATATTTTTCAGCACCTCCATATTTTCTCACTGCACCCCCTTAGGCAAGTTGATAAGGCGGTTTTGCCCTTGTTTTCGTGCTCCATCTGCATTCTCCTCTGCATCCTTCTCCCCTTTCTTCTTCATCACCGCAGCACTGCTAACGCCAATCTTGCTGCACTGCAATCCCACCGCACCTGACCCGTGTCCTCCATCAAGAGACCCTCCATTGTTTTATTCAAATCGCATTTCGTATATAAAATTCCAATGAGACTCTCCTTCCTTTTCCCATCTCTCGTTTCATTCAACCCTTTCACAAACTGCTCCCTTACACCACTCTCAACAACAACACCGACAACAGTCTCCTGTTTTCCCGACTCTATTCTTGCATCTGCTACTTCCATTTTCTTTATAAAAATATTTATTTTATTCTATGTGATTTATTTTAAATACATTTTTTATTTTTGTATTTTAAATTATACTGTCTGAAATACAAAAATTATATTTTAAATTATGTATTTCAAACTAAAAAATAAAAAATAATTTCAAGTTATACAGTTTGTAAATACAAAATTTATATATTGAAATATAAATTTAAAAAACAAATTTTATATTTTAAATTGTGTAATTTAAAATGTATTTTTTATTTTATATTAATAAAAATATGTTTAAAATATATTTATATTTATATTTCAAATTGTACATTTTAAAATACTTTTTAGATTATGTATTTTTAAACGAAGAAAGAATAAAATTGAAATTTTTAAGTTTGTTAAAGTGTGTGAAGAAATTACGAATGTAAAGGAAGAAACAACTAGCCTACTTGGATTTGATCGAAAATTAATCTATATGAATTATTTATGTTGTCCTTAACTTCTTTAGTATCAATATTTTTAAATTTATCTCAGTCCCGTTTTCTAATATCATTTAGATTAAACAAAATAGAAAAAAAATTAAAGAAACAGGAAAATTGAAAATGAAAACAAATTATTTTCTTTTAAAAATATATCGCAAAAAGATAGAAAAAAAAAATACTTGTTATGGATAAGTAGAAGAGTGAAGGAAATTAAAAAATAAATTATATGTTTGGAGAATTCCATGCCGTGGCTGCGCTTTGCGAGCTTTCCAGAAGTTTGTATTCTGTCACTCTCACTCACCTTCAGTCCACCTATGCATGCGCCTTTTCTTTTTCTCCATTCATTCCCCCACTTTCAAAATTCAACTCTCATCATTTCCAACACCTAGATTATAAGTAATCAAATATTTCTCATAATTTAAATCATGTTTAACCAATTTTAATTATAGATTTTTTTTTACGTTGAAAGATAATTTTTATGTAATGTCTGTTTCCGTTTTGGTACATGAGGTGGATCGTTTCTTTTTACAACGGATAATTATTCACTTTCTATTTTCAAATTCAATTTTTCATTTTTATCAATCTGGTACATTTCAAAGTTTCTTTAATGTCAAAGTAGTTTTTGTTTCGAAATCAAAGATAATGCGTAATAATGCGTAATTAATAAATCATTTACTTCTTCTCTATTTATATTTTTTTTGTAGACTTTTCTTTAAAATTGATTTAATTACCGTCTAAACATAACTAATCGTGATTAATCTGTTAATCATAAAGATTTTATAAGTTAATATATTTTACTTTGACAGTTCGATCGTTATACATCAATGCACTTTGACAATTCAATCTAGTGTAAAGATTTCTACCCGTTTTATAGATTGAAGAATTGACTGTTTAATTATTAGTTGATCTTGATTGAAGAATTGACTATTTAATTACTAGTTGATCAAATAAGATATACTATATGATTTATAATTTATTATTCTTTACTTCTAAGAGTAACTTTTATGCGTAGTAATTTTATAAAATATAGAAAGAACTTTGATATCAATTAAAAAAAAGAATTTTAAGTTTATTTTAATATTATAAAATTTATGACATCAAACTTATCCTTTATACTGTAATTGTTAGTATTTACATGAGATTTCTAATATTTTAATAATCAAGAATAAACTCTTTGGGCATTCTTATAACAATAAAATAAAATATACTTTGAATAATAATTAATCAATTCAACTTTAAAAGTTTTTCCATTGAAAAAATGGGAACAAACATCCTTGAAAGTTATTTTCCCAGTCAATCTTTTGAACTATTTTTCAAAAACTCAGTAGTAAAAGATACATTTTTTTGAAAATAGAAAAAACAACCCACTAAATAGTTGCAATTTACTTATCCTTCGGCAAACGAAATCATGATAAAAGAATGTTAATTAACTGATGAGGGAATACAACATTGTTCCATTTCCTTTTTGACATAACAACATTATTCTGAATAAGAATAAGCCAAACGTTAATTCAGTTCTTGGCTGGTTCCGACCAACTGATCCGATTTAGTTCAACAACATAACTTTGACTCTGTGTGAAGAAGAAAAAGAATATGATAGTCAAAGAGTTTGTGTAAAATGGCGTGTGAGAATACAATTTCAAAACAATACCATAAACATTCGACTCCATATTTACAAGGTCGGTAGAATATTTGGAGTAACGACTTAAGAAAAAGTATATTTAAATTATTCCTAATATTAAGATCTAAAGTTTTTTAAGTAAGATAATAACATTTAAAAATTTTGTAATGTGTGGAAGAAGATTTGATTGGAGGAAGAAGCTTTGCACAGAAAATGGTCAAAGTCTAGAACTCCATGGCAGAATGGATCATATACTTTTCCACAAACCATAAATTGTTCACATTATTAACCACCATCAAGCTTTTTTGACTTCCCATTTAAAATTCATTTTAGTTCACATGACAACCGCAGTTTTAATTTCAACATCCATTTACAACAAGCATCCCTCAAACTTTCCCTCCTCCCAAACTTTCCTTCAAGTTAGTTACTAATAGTTTTAGTTAAGGTGCGTTTGGATTACGGATGCACTCGTCGTATCTTTTTATTGTTTAGTTTGTGTTGGATAGTGTGAAGGCGGTGTAATTGAAGCGACAATCCAAACGGCGACGCAAGGGTTGCGTTAGGTTAACATGATCATGGATAGAACATCGCAGAGCAGCTCCGATTCCCCGACTCGAGATCCTGTGCTTTCCATCGAATGTCTGAGAGGAAGCTCGAAAGCCGATGAGTGGACCGGCGACATGCTCCAAAGCGGCGATATCGTGGAGGAGCTCCGAATCGGTTCGAAGGCGAAATCACAGATCCGGTACCAGTCGCCGTTCAAGGGCGGGAGGAGCGGCGTGCAGAAGATCCTTCAGGAGGCGTTCAAGAAGAAGGAGACGTCGATTGTGGTTCGGGTGCGACGAGGGTCGGAGGAGTTTGCGGAGTTGCAGGCGTGCATCGTGCCTAACGAATTCGCGGCAAAGAAGGGTTTGGTTCTTCGCTCGATTGATGACCCGAATTACGTGGTCGGGTTCTTGGATCGGACCGAAGCAGAATGCTATGAGCTTCAAGGTTCGTTTGCCATCTTTGGCCAACTTTCTCTCTTGTTTTTCTGGTTTGCCTTTTGACTTTTGAGTTTCTGTGTTTTATTAATATTTAATAATTATTAGTTGATAATTAATAAATTAATAAACAATAAATTGTTTTTGAGTTAAGTTTGGGTAGTTGGAAGTTGGAGGAATGTGCTATTTATGTTCATGCTAATTAAAAAAAGTTAGTTAATAGTATTTATTTGCATTACTTTTGTTTAATAGTAGTAAGTAAGAGTTGACAGAACGATAGCGTACGAAATGAGGAGATGAAATTAACTAAGCTTTAGTATTTTAGCCTGGAATAAAATAATTAAAATTAGATTTATAATAAAAAACTATTTATAATTAGGATTTTAATGATGAATTTAATTGTAATATTTGAAATAATGATAAAGGATGGTGTGCGTTTTAAAGAAGATCACAAGACGTTGTTATATTATAAATTATAATAAATAATTTGGAGTATCATTATCTGAATTTGACATTTCTAATATTCTATTTAATATTGTAAGTTCTAATTATTTAAAATAACATATTAACCTTTCACAATTCCTTCCTGTGTTAAAATTACTAATTTTTTTTAGTTAAAATAGGAAAACGGTAAGTTATGATATAGTTGTTTATTTTGTCGTTGTGCCTAATTAGCTTACACGTAACGTGTGTGGGGTTGCCAATGAGATGACACTCCGTCGAGTGCACGTGTATATGGCCCATTCCATCTCTTTCTGTGATTCCATTCCCATTTGCTTGGGTGAACTTCACGTATGAAAGTTGCTTAGATTCATTTTAAACTTGTGTTTCTTCTTGTGAGGTCACCTTTCTGGCTGCTTCTTCTTTTTCCTATAAAACGCCAAACATAATGCTTTTAATTAAAAATGTTTTGTTTTTTCACAAGAGGTGCCAAAACAAATTCAAATGCTTACCACATCCACCATCCGAAAAAAATAGAGCAAAAGGAAAATACCAATTTCTCCCTGCCAACACATTTTTACATTAGAAGTACAGAAGCTCAGTTTCCTCCTATTTGGTATGCTACTCAAAAGATAACTTGGATATAACCTCTGCGGCTTGGTTAGCCTCTTTAGCTACAGGAAACATTATTTTATACACGTTATTACATTTAAAATGTAAGGAGTAAATTAAATTAAACTTGGGCACTACAACATAAGCAGTAGTGTTATTGACCCAACGGTGTATGCCGGAAAGCCTTAATGTTTCCTGATATTATCTGTTTACCCTGAACCTAGTTTTCTGTCTTCTTTTAGAATCAAGATGCAGACTATTACTTTATTTGTTCTAATAAAAGCTCAATACCTATTTCACTACAAATACTGAAACTTAGCTTGGATAGATATGTCTTATATTGTTTGTTTTCTAGTTGGAGGGTTCTCTCTAGGCTTTATTCAAAGTGTTGGACGACAATTAAGTTGGTCTAGCAATTTTTTAACTGCCGTTCTATTGCAAGAATGCGAATATGAACATATGATAAAGCAAACGATGTCTCTTTTTTGTCAAATATACAAGTTAAAAGTTTATCTATTAATAACGAATTTTTTATAACATGGATGAATTGCAACCAAGTAAATTTCTGCCGATGGCTTGTCCTGTTATTTGTGAGGTTATACCCACTTAAAGCCCTGTATATAAAAAAACCAGAAAAATCAATGCATCTTACAATGACCTTATTCAGGGAAAGTTATTCCGCGTCTTTTCTTAAACCTCTACGTCTGGATTGGCTGATCGGTAGCACTTATTTGGTCATCGATGCCAATGGCATGGCAATTTTCTCCACTCTTTTACTTTCGATTATCATATCTAATATTTGTTGCAATAACTGCTCTTTACAGCTTCAAGGGGCACTAGGATGGTAAATGCACTGACCAGGACCAAGTTACAGGATGGATATGTTTCGTATTCGTGGGAGAGGAGGATGCAAGAAATGCTACCAATTCCCAATTCTAGCAACTTTCTTTCTATATTATTCCTTCCCAAAGCTTCAGATCGGGTAGCTTCTCGCTACAATGATTTGGAGGATACCCTGGCCAGGGCAAATGCATGGCTCAATGCAGGTCAAGCTTCAGGGGTCCCTATTGTCTTCATGAACATCCAAACTGAGTCCCTACTTACTAAGGTAAATGGTCACTCATTATTGTGACTTTCTTGAACTTTTAACTTGAGATCTTAACCTTCTAAAAGAATTGGTTCATGGTATGATATTTTGCTTCCTCTTCACAATATATATCGCATTTGGTCATAAGAAACTGTACGACACAATTTAAGATTTTATCATGTCTTGTACACTAGGACGCAACGAAACTTTTACCATCTTCCTTTTTTTTACTTTTAATTTTTTAGTGCTATATTGTTTTGTTCCTTATGACAAAGGAGTTTGTCTTTTATTTGTGTGACAGATATCAGGAGAGACCGCTTCTTCCACTGTGAATGCGGGGTCTTTATCTGACTTAGCTAACTTGGCAAATGAAAGCCTTTACGGGTTTGAGGATTACCATGGAGTAGACATTGGCGTTGTACGAGCAGTTCGCCTGTGGTATGCTCCGGTTGCTGGAGAGTTCTCTATTGAAATCAAACTGAAAGAGGAAGACTCAAAGCTTGGCTTTGCCATTAGTCGTACTGAAGAGGTTTATATCTTGATCATGAACATGCATATACACTAACGTAAATAAAATTAGAGACCGTTGTTTAGATGTTTTTTGTAGCATTCTCTAGAGCAAATTTGAAAACTTTTGTTTCTTAAATTATTGAGGAGAAACTCAGATTTGATTAAAAATAGTGCAAGCATTACCTAATAAACTATATATAGAAGATCTGGTTCAATGTTATATATATAACTCTCACGTGAGACTAGTGTATCAGATCTATAGATTATATGGTAATAATATCTTACTATCCATTATTTGTTAGTAATGAGAGTTTGGATCCGCTACCGAGTATTGTTGCATTAAAAACACATTGTATTGTTTAAAGTTTCAGCCAATTAATATTTTTCTTTTGCAATCTACAGGGATTTATTTTCATCTCATCAGTGATTAATCAAGAAAATGTACCAGCAACACGATCAGGCCTGAGCAATCTGTATAAGCTGGCAACAGATACTTGTAGGATGTTGGTGGTTTCAAGAGTGTCAAATCAAAAAGTCCTTCCATGGATGGTTTCTTCAACAGGAGCTATTCGGTGTTATGACACTGTTTCACTCAGCCAGAAGCTGTCCTTGCACCGACACACCAGAGTTCCCATTCTCCTGCACGTCTTCCTTTGGGACAGGGCTTTGGCTTCAAGTGTAGGAAGCACGAGATTTAGGGCTCTGTCTTCTGTGTTGCCATCACATGCATCTGAAGTTCCGTTAGCACCCATTCCCAACGAAACTCATGTACTGCCATTGCCCCCTCCTCCACCTTCTGAACCAACTCATACTGCATCAGATATTTCCCACTCAAGGCTTCAGAGAGACACGGCTGGAGAATTCTCTTTTAGATTCCACGATTTTTCTTTGTCTAGTAACTGGGTATGATGTGGTTGCATATTAAATCATTCATTGCTCATGTCATGATATTGCAGTTTATTATTGTATATATAGTATGCATTGCTTTTAGACTTCACAGGCCTTGTAGATTTTTCTTTTTTCCTTCATTAACTTGTTCACGGAAAAGTATAATAATATATCATGACTTTTTTGCTTAGCAGTTTACTGCATATGGTGTCATTGAAATATAAAGGTTGGACTATGTGTTCTTCATTGTAATTAGACTGAAGAATAATATGTAGTTTATTTTCTCATCTTATGTTATTAAAATAGTTTATAGGTTTAATCAATCTCTCAAAGATGAATTTGATTGTTTAATCTAAATAATTAAACGCTAAAGTTATAACTTTTATACATTATTTTTAAGGCCATCAAGACAATCACAAAAATAACAGTTAAAATTATTACAATACATTAATATTTACTCATTAGATCGATTCATATTTTTTTGTTTAAACTTTACGTTAATAAACAATAGGATTAAATATGTTTTGGTAGTTAACAAAATAACAAAATAACAAAATAAATATATCATAATAACTCTGTTTTAAACTATCTTTTCGTAATGAAAGATATTATATTCACTTAACTTTTGACATTTTTTATCAAATTATTTTAATCTACATCTCAATACATTTAACTAAACTAGTTTGTTTATCTAGTTTGCGTTTAGCTTGCAGATCGAAAAATAAACAAATCCAAAACTGTATAATATCTTAAAAAAATTTATTGAAAAAGCTGCATTTCTTTTTTTAAAAAAAAGTGGTAATAATGTAAAAAACACATCTAATACGATAATAAAATATGAAAGAAAACTTTATTAAAGTACATCACACAAGGTATACAAAAATTAATATCACTAAACTTTTACACAATTGCTTATTAACTATTCACCTAACATGTTTATGGGATGGGAACAAACCAACGAAACAAATCTATGTCTAAGTGGACTACCTCTTTACAGTTTCTTTTTTAAATTCGCTTGCAGGTTAACCCTATTTTTTCTTTTATCTATTGCTTTAAATTGTAATTTAGTAATTTTTAAACAAATGAGCAATAGTTAAAACAATTGTATTTTAATTAAAATCCAAAATACAATTTTACTTAATCTAGATTGTTCAAATATAGTAAAATTTAACCATAATATAATATTTATATTAAAACATTCGATTGTTTTAAATTTCATATGTATTAAAACAAACGTATGTATTCTCTACTACAATACTAGTAATATTAATAATAGGAATGGTAAGAGGGAAGAAATAAAAATAAGAAAGAACATGAACAATAATGTAATTTACATTCTTTGGTTATGCAGACAATAAATTGAAAATTATTAAAATAGAAGAAAAAGAATTGTGGCGAGGAGAATAGAAAACACATAAACCATTGATCCATATATGCTCATCAACGGTTCTGATTTTAGGTTTTAAAGATTCTCTCAATTCTCCCAAACGCAAAATATTTCAAAATTCGCGCCCTACCTATTTTCATTACCGATATACCCCAAACCTAACCCCAATTTCGTACACCAACATCGAATTCCTCAGCCTTCGTTCAGAATTTCGATTCAAAGATATAAATGTATGAATTATGGCAAACTATGTTCACCTTGTAATTTAATAAATAAAATATAACAGTTCTGCATAAAAATGAAAGATAAATAAGAAATAATAGAGATAATTTCAACTAGAAAACACTTCATTTTTTTCTCATCTACATTGGAACGATACACAACAGTTCAAACAACTGAACCAGTGAATTAGAATAAGAGAGAAATTAAAGGCAGTCTAAAGAATCCTAGCTGGAATAGAGAATTATGAAAGCTCAAGCTCTCTCGCCCCTGATTCTGTGAGCGAGTTGGATGTCCTTGGGCATAATAGTGACGCGCTTGGCGTGAATGGCGCAAAGGTTTGTGTCTTCGAAGAGTCCAACAAGATAAGCCTCTGCGGCTTCCTGCAAAGCAGAAACCGCGCTGCTCTGGAAACGGAGATCCGTTTTGAAGTCCTGAGCGATTTCACGCACTAAACGCTGGAACGGAAGCTTTCTGATCAACAATTCGGTACTCTTTTGGTACTTTCTGATTTCTCTGAGCGCCACGGTTCCCGGCCTGAAGCGGTGAGGCTTCTTCACGCCGCCCGTTGCCGGAGCTGATTTTCTGGCTGCCTTGGTGGCCAGTTGCTTCCTCGGAGCCTTGCCTCCGGTGGATTTGCGTGCAGTTTGCTTGGTTCGTGCCATCGGTGAGAAGTTAGAACTTGTTTGGCTGCAAAATCACTTCTAGATCGAGAATTTTTTGTTTACAGCGTAAGAGAATTATATTCCAATGAAGATTTATACACAAGATATAGATGATACGATGTATCTGAGCCGTCTAGTTTTAATTAATCTACGGTTACAGTTGCGATCCGTGTATTCGTGAATGAACCAATGAGATTCGATTGTTGAAGCGGCAACTTTAATTTTGTAGCTTTCGTTGTTTCGTTTCATCGGAGAGCGCGGGCTACTTCAAGTTTTTTTCAAGTTTAGTTATTATTGATGGGGCCCACTAAAATCTATTTGTTTTTTCTGGTGTTTGTTAGCATACAATTTCTTTCTGCACCCCGTACTTTCTTCTTCTAACTTCATAATTGTGTTTAAAATCTATAATCTCATAATTAATTATATATTATGAAATTTTAAATATAAAAATAATTAATTATACACATTTTCAACAGCTATAAAGATGTATGTTGAAGGGAAAAAGAGAATATATATATATATCATTGTGAAACAACTACATAAACTATATTTGAATATTTGTTATTGAAAATTTAACGAGCCCAATCTATGATGCATGGGCTCTTCAAACATTACTTTGCTGGCCGATTCTCTTTGCATCTCCATAATTTCATTTCATTCTGCACCCTATACACTTGAAAATTCTAATTTTACTCTATTTTAGAATTTTCATTTTTATTCTTGATCTGTACATTCTGAAATATAAAATAAAAAATAAAATACGGAAAATAAAAATTTTAACACGAAGGAGAAGGTGAAAAGTGGAAAAATTAAAAAGGAAGAAGAAGAGCGTCGGCGGAGAAAGAAAAAGGAGAAAAATTAAAAAGTCATTTCACAATTCTGTAGGAGTGCAGGTTGAAATGTATAGAGGTGCAGAAAGAAAATGCCTACTTTCCTTATTAGCTTACCACACCAAATAAAATACCGTCAATTATTTATTTTGTTTATTTTACAAAAGATATTTGAATTTCAGTTAACTTTATATAAGACTGAATTAATATAAACTAATAAAAATATACTTATAGAATAAAAAAATTAATTATATTTAGCACTTAACTAATCTTGATTAAAAAAATTACTTTAATTTTGACAAATCTTCCGAAATTCAAACCAAATTACTTAAAAGTTTCCGAGTTGTCCCGTCTTGTTCCTAGTTGAGGAGACTCTACTTCAACTAACCCATGTGAAGGTGAATTTGTTCGAAGAACTTCACGAATTAAGCCACACGTATTTTGTTTTTTCATATTTGTTACATTCGATCATTCATCCAGAATCATACAATAACTTGTACACAAACCTAAGACCACTATTACGAGTAAAAGAAACAGAAAAATGCATTGTGTTTGAAGACAAGACGATTGAGTGGAAACTAAGCAACACATGTACATATAGAGAAAGAATGCAACAAATAAGGCGAAACAGTGGTATTAATCGAAACATGGAAAAACAAGATCAAATTATTCAAGGGTAGTATTAGTATTAGTATTATAATATATACAACGTAACTTGGTAATAAGAACTGGTAAAAGGATAAACTTGAAACGTTGTCATTTTATAATGGACAAAAAGAAGCATGCAACGGTGGCTGATAGCAGTGGTTAGGTGATGTTTACTGTTGATTCCTTCTATTTTTACCCATAAAGAGACAAGGTAATAGGAATGATGTGTTTCTTTCAAGCTAGCTAGGATGCTCGAAAAGAAAGAGCATGGAAGAAAGAATAATTTGGAAATGGTAAGGTTTGAAGTGCTACGTAAGCATTAGAAATTTGTAGTGAAGTTAATATTAATGTATGAGTGGGTCTGTGACAGAGAGACAGAGTTCCGTGGTGTTTTGTCTGAAAGTCGATAGAGGTTTCCTTTTTGTGTGCAGGTTTGGGTTCTTGCCAGCCATTGTCACACTCTTTATAATAAAATTCCTATGGTTGCTCATCAATCTAATTATTGAAGAATAGACTGAAAGCTACGTGCTATTGTGTGTGTGTTGCATGAGTAAACCTTACGCCATTCTTCATCCATATTTGGTCCCATTTTTTATGTACCATGTGTTCGGAACGAAATTGTTGGGATTTTTCGTTAGGGGAGAAATTAACCATAAATATTTCACATACATAGCTTAAGAAAATTACTTTTAACTCAAAATATTGAAATAATAAGTTCTCAGTATTCTTTTGTCAGAAATAAGGATGGCAACGGGTCGGGTCAGGCACGGATAGTGTCTATCCGCAATCCGACCCGCCGGATAAAATCGTACCAATTACCAGACCCGTTATCTGCCGGATATCCGTTTAAAAAATACTCACGAGTACCCGTCGATACCCGCAAAAAAAAAATTATTTAATACATTTTAAAAATAAAATTTAAATAAAAATACAAATATATATATATATAATATAAATTAAATTAAATGTAAATTCAAAATTTAATTTTAATTTAATTTAAACTAATAAAATATAATTTTATTTTATTTTTAATTAAATTTAATTAAAAAATATATAAATTATTTATTTTTTAATCTTTTGCAGGTAACAGGTACCCGCGGGGCGAATAGTATACTATCCGTACCCGATCCGTTTAGAAGCGGATATTAAAATATCTGATACCCGTGTCCGCGAATAAAATTGACATCCCTAGTCAGAAAGAATTTAAATGTGTGTTTTGGTTAAACACTCACAGTATATTTAAGAAAAAAAAACTCCATAAACATATAAATTTTAGGTTAAAAGTAAATATAAATTTTTTATCTTGATCGAATTTTTTTTACTTTTATTTAATTTCTCTAGTGATTATGAAAAAAAATGATCAGTCTTTTTTACTACTCAATATTTTTTTTTTTCAATATAAAACTAAATTCACTCTTAGTATCCTAACAAAAATAAATCAATTTTATTTATAATCTACTCAAGTATAAGATAACTCGTATACAACGGTTCCAGCAACACATACTTTTATTCATTACTTTTTGCATTTTGTTTGTTTAGATCTTTCTTTAGTCAAATATAACTAGGATGTCGGAATCCTAGTAGGGTTTATTCATCCTTTTTCTCTAATTTATAATGTTAACCATTTTACTATATCTTAAAAGTTATTAAAATACATTTTGTCACTGTATCTTTACGTTTTTACAAATTCTACATCAATTGTATTCTTCAATTATTAAAAATGTGATAATAATGTGATTTATGTTAGGTGAATTTCCAATAGAATATATTTCATATTAAATTATACATTTACAAGTTTGTGAAAAAAGATTTTTAAAAATCTATGGATAGAACGATAACTTTCCCAAAAGTGAATTTTTGAATAATTGAATGTTATTACAGAGAAAATATCAATCCTGACTTAAAATTAGATGGTTATTTTTTGTGTGATTCAAAAAAACGTATTTTTCATTTCTTCTGTACTCAAGAAACGTTCTTCAAATCTTAATTATTTATTTATTATTGTAAATTTGGTTTATTTTAGTATTTGAGTTAAACTACTATATTTTTATAAGGTTTAATTCGTATTTTGGTCCCTCTTTTCGTAGGGTCTGTTCAAATTGGTCCTACTTTTTTTCAAAAGTTCACTAAGATCCCACTTTTCGCAAAAACGGTGCAAGTTAGTCCTTTTTGGTTACGGCGTTAAAAAGACTAACGGCACAGCTGCCCAGCTGCCCAGCTGAAAGAAAACTGATGAGCTGTACATTTTTTGTTGACGTGGCACTCTACATGGCAATCACCCATCGCATCTTGCAATTGCAACCTTCAACCTCTGCCCCAACTCTCTTCCTCCCATATGCCCATGGCGTTCCTTCTCATCACCACCTTCTCCTTCTCCTCCTTCTCTTCCTCCTTCTTCCACCCTTTCAATTCCACCTTCCTTTTTTTCCCAATCTCTCTCTGTCTTCTCAATTCTAACCCTAACCTCACCTCTTTCGAAATCTCCAAACTTCAAAAACCGCAAAATATAGTCTGAGAGAACCATCACCCCTGTTCAAACCCATCAATTATTTTCCACTGGGTCACGCTTTCACTCCCAAATTTCCGATTTTTCTATCTGTTTATCGCCTTATTCGCCGTCTCAGGTATTGCTGATGGTTCTCTCTGAATACGGATCTGCACAAGTCGCGGCCTTGGATTAAAGAAAAAGCACCCACCCATTAAAGAAAAAGCAAAAACAGAATCCACTACAACATAGTAACAACAGTAATGCCATCAATTACTATAACAACAACATAAGAACAGTAATGCGATCACTAACCTCGAAGTTGATTTCACCAAAAATCAGAATCTGCACTCTTGGAAAGGAGATTGTTGAACCCTAAATCGCATGCAGATTTTACCCCAAATGTAATTGTCAAATTTTTTTAACCCTATCTTTTAAATTAATTTAAATTAATTAA